AGCCTCGAGAAGCTCCATGATCGGGTCAGGCAGATGCGGCAGATGTACCAGTACCTCGATCAGCCAGAATATGCCCAGCATCTGAGCATCGACAACCCGTTTATCGAGGCCTGCATGCCACAATACACCCTGGTCGGCGAGGTTGACGTGCCCCTGAAAGCTGTCTTCGAGAGCCGGGTCCAAGACTTTACGCTCGACGTCTTCTCGCCGCACACGTCGCACGCCATCGGCATCGTCAAGCTCGCACTGGAGCCGTCAAGTGCGCGGGCCCCGAGCAATACGCTCAAGTTCAACATCGTCATGCACGAGCTGGTTGGCTTTGCTGAGCGCGAAGGCACAGAGGTGCATGCGCAGCTCTTCATCCCCGGGATCTCCGAAGACGGCATCACCACCACCCAGATGATCAAGGACTTCGACGAGGGCCCGATCCGGTTCGAGAGCGTTCATAGCATGAGCGTCCCGCTGTTTGCGCCGCCGCAGACGACTCTGAGGGTGGCAATCTTTGCCAAGGTGTCGGCGATGCATCTGGATAAGCTGCTCAGCTGGGACGACATGAGGGACGCGGTGCCTAGCTCTCGAGGCAAGCCCAAGGGTGCAAGGATAAGCGAGGCACATTTCTTCACGGAAGAGAAACATGATCTGCTTGCCCGAGTCCAGATCCTGGAACTGAATGAGGAGGGCGAGTATGTGCCTGTTGAGGTGAACCAGACCAGCGAGCTGGACAGCGGCACGTTCCAGCTGCATCAGGGTCTGCAGCGGCGCATCGCCATCACCCTTACCCACAGCTCGGGCGACGCCCTGCCGTGGGACGATGTCACGGCGATGCGCGCCGGCAAGATCCAACTGCTCGACAGCGCGGGCAAGACGCCAGACCTGGGCTCCACCAGCCCTGAGATACCTCTGAAGCTGGCATCCAAGCCCACGTTCCGCACGAATGCGAACGGCACTCGCAGCGTTACTATGATCGGACAATGGGACTCGAGCCTGCACAACTCGCTGCTCCTCGACCGGGTCACAGCGGATAAGTACCGCGTGCAGTTGACCGTGTCGTGGGAGATTTGCTCCGAGAAGCTCGCCGAGCCGATGAAGTTCTCGATGAACGTCTGCTGCCAAATCCTGTCACGGTCCTTCGTCCGGCAGACGTCCATGTTCTCTGCCCTGTGGCAGCACGTCCGGATCGTCCACTCGGCAACAGGCATCTTCACGCTGCAGATGCGGCCTGCGCCGATCAAGCGGGTCGGCGATCTGTGGCGGATGAACAGCCAGCACGACTATGTCAAGGGCGAGGAGAATCTGACCGCCTGGACGCCGCGGGGCGTGTCGCTTGTGGCGGATTATATCAGTTCGAGAAAGAGGAGAAGAATGATAGCCGAGATTGCGGCGGTCCAGGCCTTCCTCAAGAAGGCCGGCTTCAAAGACGAGGCCGACGGTCACGAAGCGCCTGAAGACGTAGACATTCCTCCCCCGCCAATCACCTCGGACGCCGACTCCATTGCCGAGCTCCTCAAAGACGACACCCCTGAACCCTCTGAAGCCTCATCGCCAGCGACAGCATCGCTTCAACCAGCCGAGGACGACGACGCCCCTCAGCAGCCCGAAGAAACCGCCGCCCAACCCCCCGAATACTCAGACCAGCAAATCTCGCTCCTAACCCGCTGCCTCAACCTCTGGCAACGCTACCCAGACCCAACGATCAAGATACTCTCCCCCGCCAACACCGACCCGCCCGAAGACGGGCCCGCCGACCCTTCCTCCTCCTCCTCCCCGCTCACGCCATCCTTCGTGGCGACGGTCATCCGCGTGCCCAAGAACCCGACCGTGCTCAAGGGCGGCTACCTCCTCGTGCCCAACGCCGATTCCACGCGCTGGGTGAAGCGCTTCGTGGAGCTGCGCCGGCCGTACCTGCACGTGCATTCAGTCGGCGACGGCGAGGAGATCGGCGTCGTCAGCTTGCGGAACGCGCGCGTGGACAGCCAGCCGGGTATTTTGGGCTTGTTGGATGTCCATAGCAACGGGTATGGTGACGAGCAGGAAGCGGGAGCAACAGCAGATGGGAGTGGATATGGATATGGGTTCACGACGCCCCGGCGCGGAGTCTCGCCGTCGCCTTCACCGTCGCCGCCTGCTCCTGGTACCGGGGGTGGGACGACGGGGAGATTGATTGCTGCGCTTTGGCCTGGCAGTGGCACCACTGGTGGTAATAATGGTGGTGGTGGTGGTGCTAAGGGCCGCCACCATGCCAACGGGACAGCAACAGCAACTGCAGCCACTGGAGGAGGAGGCATCACCAAACTCAGCGAGCGGCTGCAGGCCGGCGTGTTTGCCGTCTACGGGACGGACAATACCTGGCTGTTTGCGGCGCGCTCGGAGCGGGATAAGATGGACTGGATCACGAAGATCGACCAGAGCTTTGCCATGGGCAGCACGAGCGTGAGTGCGAGCGGGAGCGGCGCGGGTAGTCCCCTGGTCGGGGGTTGGTGATTATGTGGGAAAGGGGTGATATCTAGTGGGTTGGTAACTGAAGCGAAGCTAGGATGGGTGGGTGGATGGACATTTAGACGGGCGGATAGACGGCGGTGGGTTACAGGCGCCGTGGCGACAGTAAAGGGTTGATCAAACAAACTCTTAGGGATACCCCGGGGGGAAATGCTCTTTCCCCCTATTTTCTCGATTTCGTTTCTTCGTTTCTATATATGCCGAGACAGGCTCTTTTACTGGATTTTTCCGTCTCTATAATGGCAAACTCGGGGCAGGAAAGGATATGAACGCACGAGGTCTACGGTCGCTTATGCGCATACATACCCTTTTTCACTTTGCTTTCCCTTTCTACAGTGCGACGATACCTAGGTCCCTAGACAGGAAGGAGAGCGATGCTTGGACTGCTTCACGGCGGAACGTGAGAGATGGGTAGCTGTGCTGTACTGTATCAAAGTGGGAGACATGTAGAATATCTTCGTCTTTAGAAACTATACCCCTTGGTTCCGAAGAGAAATAGACGTCTGTAGCAATCTTGGCTTGAGATTCCAAGAATGTCCATGTCTTTGGGTTGATCTGACGTCTTAAGGAGAGCATAAGAAGACCATTCGACTGGCTGTTCCTTCCATCCTTCCTTCCATCCTTCCTAAGACAATTGCCCAAATCCCTTCCCCCCACCTCCTCTGGCTTCCTCCCTACCGGTACTTAACAGCCATAAACAATCTCCAACCCCCCGTCCACCCCCAACCCCTCGTCAAATCCATTCACAAACCCAACCTCCCCCACCCCAGCCAGCTCAAACCGATACGCCATCCTCTCCCGACACGCAAACGAATTCACCGTCACCACCCTTTCCTCTTCTTCCCACTCATGCTCCTCCGCAGCGGCAAAGCGCACAACCCCGACCAGCGCCCCCGCCGCCGGCCCGTCGACGTCATACACGTTCACGGCCAGCGGCGGCCCGCCTGCTTCGACGCTCGAGTCAAAGACCTCCCAGTGCGGCGGGAAGCGCGCGCGGAGCGTGCATGGTCCTCCTGGAGCCTCTTGTTGCCAGTGAGCAGAGGGGAGGACGAAGGTGAGGGTTTGCGTCTGTGGTGGGAGGTGCAGGTCGGGTAGGTTGACTAGGTTCAGCCGGCTGCTCGGGGTGGAGGAGAAAGGCGGGATGGAGGTGCAGGTTGGCTCTGAGTCCGTGGTGATGATGGCGGTTGGGGCGGCGGTGGTGAAGGGGGTGGTGAGGAGGAGGAGGAAGACAGTGGTGACCGTCGTGGTGGCTCGGAGGGTGAAGTCCATTTTTGTTGTTGGCGGCTGAAGTGATTATGGAGGGAGGGGCTTTTTGGCTTGGATGAGATGAGGTAGTAGGAACAATATGCTCTGGGTTGTAATTGAGGAGAGCCGAAGACTGCGAGAGTGTGCTGATGATGGTGCTGGTGACGATGGCGGTGGGGGAGATACGGATCTCAGGGGGAGGACGTCGTTCTTATATAGACGGAAGGACGCTCAGGTTGCTACACCTGTGATGCCTAGCTTCGCCATACTCCCCGCGCTGCTATTTCTGGTGTTTCTGCCTCGGTGTTGGCAGACTGATGTTGGTGTCGGTACCCAAGAAACGCTGCATCGCCATGTTCACCGGGCACGCAGCGGCCGACGATGTCATTGCCATGACCTATTCTTGCGGTGCTCAGCGAGTGGCCAACAGCCCGAGCGGCCGAAGACTGACATACTCACGTGGGTTGCCTGGCATATACAAGTGGTTATATAGGAGATGTCTGTGGCGGAGAATTACAATCGTCCATTCTCATATGCTTCCGTTGCAGTGCAATATACGAGCTGCAGGACTTTCGTACGGCCTAATATGCGGGCTGCGAGCGGCGATGACTTGCATGGCGAGGCGGAGTCGATGTCGAGACGGTGGTGAGGTCCGAAGCCTGGAGGGGATCAAAAGTATGACAAAACCCTTTAATGGGACTTCCCTTCCTCGCCAGCTCACATCACTGCTCCTCTACACGGATCAGACTTCAGAGATCTCGAGGCCCACGCCGATAGATTGGCCCGGGCAACCGCAGAGTCGTACTCTTTGTCGTAGGGGAATCGACCCGGCGTCAAACTCGGTTAGATGAATCTCATTCTACCGGGTGGCAAGCCGGCCTCGGGGCGGCAGAATGAACACGGAGTTGGATGTGCTCTGCAGACGCTCGAAGCGCCAACCGCGGCCAACAGTTGGGCACCAGCCACGGGTAGTCGCCAGAGGCAGTGTTGGGCAGAGCCTGGGCTCCAAGAGATGCATCAAATCTGGAACCTGGGAACCTGGTGACAACCAATTCCGTCCCCTGTATCATGAACATTGAATAAGCGCACAGAAATAATAAAGTGGAATGGAAAGGCAGTGGGACGAGCCTCAGATGAGATTAAATACTCTCCGCTGTGACATTCGTCGTCAGGGTCGTGATCCAACCTTGAGTTGGTTTCCTCGGCTTGGGCGACCGTGTCTTGTGTAGTCTGGCTCCGAACCAACCCACCACTCAAATGGCTGGATGGCCGAGTGGTCTAAGGCGGTAGACTCAAGAACCTGGTTCTTGCCCTGGAAATGCGGGGTGCATTCTACTCTCGAAAGAGGCGCGCGTTCGAATCGCGCTCCAGTCATCTTTTGCTCTAGAATCTAGTTTCGTCTCACGCCTATCCTGCATGGTCAGTTGGCTGTTTTGTTTTGATTGTGGCCATCGTATCGCGTTCAGGCCGGCAATGAATACCTGTTATGAAAAGCAAAAAGCACCTCGGTGAATGAAGCATGCTAGTGCCCATGACGATGTTGGCAGCTATTACATGCGCTGTGACGGTAAACACACCCGACCAATAAAAAGGTCTGCGAGATCCACCGTCTTGACGCAGGGCGGGTGCCATGGTTGGAAACCGGGCGTCATTGAGCCGGGAAGGTGCCGATGGTAGCTCTGCTGGGTTGGCAAGGACGATCCCGTCGGGAGATTTCTGCATTCCTCAGGAACAGCTGGTGCGCGCCTATCGAACCTGCTCTTTGCCGAGTACATACCGTTGCGCACGCATCCCAATATTCTAGGTACTTATGCGACACCTGACACATAATCCCCAACATGTCCGCTACCACGGATAACAACGCCAGCAGTGATGAAACAACCGATCTCAGCAAGCAATATGAGACGCCTTTGGGGCTTGCTCACAGCACCATGCAGGCCCTCAAGGACCGCATCAAGCTGCACTATGACCTTGCCAGCGACTACTATCTGAACCTGTGGTATGCAGACTCACCCAGACGCCCTCATCTCTCACCTGGTCACTCACTCGAAAAAGGGGCGAGCACATCCACCACGGCTACTGGCCGACCGAGGACTCCAAAGCCTCCGACACGAAAGAAACCGCCCAGCTCAACCTGATCCGCCTCCTGCTCGACATCTCTCATCTTTCTCCGGACGGCAGCAGCTCGGCCAGTCCCAATGCGAAACCCCTCCGCATTCTCGACGTAGGCTGCGGGATAGGCGGCACAACCCGCTACCTGGCCAGCACCCTCGGCGCGACCGTCACGGGCATTACCATCTCCAGCAAGCAGGTGCAGATCGCCACGCGCCTGAGCAAAGCTGCCTCTTCCTCTTCTTCTTCTGCTTCCTCTACCAGCAACAACCCCACCATCAGCAGCAGCAGTACCACTGCAAACGGAGACGCCCAACCCCGACCCCAGGCCCACGCCCATGACCCGTCCTCTTCCCCTTTCATCCCCGTCGGCTCAAGCGGAGGCAGAGTCCGCTTCATCGAGCTGGACGCCGAGAAGATGGGCGAGTTCTTCTCCTCCTCACCCTCACCCTCCTCTTCCGGAGAGAGGCCCGAAGAAGGAGGACAAGGAGAAGAAAGAGGCTTCGATGCCGTCTGGATTAGTGAAGCGCTTTCCCACTTCCCGAACAAAGCCCTCTTCTTCCGGAACGCGCACGCCCTCTTGCGGCCCGGCGGGAAGCTCGTGCTGGCGGATTGGTTCAAGGCGGAGGGGCTGGAGCAGGGGGCGTTTGAGGCGGATATTAAGCCTATTGAGGGTTTGTATTTTCCCTCCTTTGCTTCTCTTCCTTTTTTTTGTTTTTGATCGGTTGAAGAGAGGGAAAGGGTGGATGGGTGAGTGAGTAAGTGAGTGATTGCTGATATGCAGAGTTTTCTATCGATCTAGATGGGATGCTCCTCCCGCCGCTGTGCACGCAGCAAGAGTATGTCGGCCTGGCCACGGATGCCGGGCTGGCAGTGTTGAGCTCGCCCAAGGATATCAGTAGGGATGTCAGTAAGACTTGGTGCGTACCATAGTCACTCTCCTGCATCACCACCTGTTTTGGTGCTTTGGAGTGGTGCTTGAGGCTGACTGGCTACAGGGACATCTCGTGGTCATTGGTGCAGAACCCTTCGCTGTGGGCATTCGCCTTCAGCCAAGGGCGAGACGGGATCGCCTTCCTGCAGGCTTTCCGGGCCATGAGGAGAGGCTATGCAAACGGGAGCTTCCGGTATGCCGTCATGTCATTCGTGAAGCCGTGAGGCGGGTCCTCGTAGTTCGGAGACAACGACGACCTGAGTTACCATTCGCTGCGCAAAGCTCGCCCAGAGAGCGAGCTAGATAGATAGATCCCTTCGGGTTTCACAAAGAGAGAGAAAAACCCGTTACATCTGCCTTCATCCCGTTGCCAGAACCCAACCCACCCGACAGCCAATAAACGCCCCTGACCCAACCTACCATGTACACCAGTAATCCTCTCCTTGTCGATGCGCAGGGTATTGTATCATTACATGATCAACAAACACAAAGGGCGGCACCAATCATGAGCTGAATCTACGCGAGGCGCCCGCTTGGATGGATCGTATGTACAGATCCCTTAGACCAGCAATCGCCGCTTAACGGGAGCAGGGACAGGCTCCCCGTTGAGAGTACCCCGCTTCTTCAAGGCAGCCCGGCCGATAGCCTGGATCTTGTCGAGAAGATGGCTGTGGCAGCAAGTCAGTAAAAGTCGTACGCATATCTGACAACAGCTTGAGGGTGCGAGAGAGAAGAAATGGGCATAGACTACTTGATCGGCATGTGGCCTCGGCTCTCCTTGAGAGCGAGGTTAATCTTCTCGGCCTGCTCCTCGTGCTCGCGGAAATGCTCCTGGATCAGCTGCTGCCCGTCTTCGTCGTCCGCCGACCGGACGACGTAGGTGCAGCCTTCCTGGCCGCACGTCCAGGTCCCATCTGGGCCGGTCGGGGTCGTCGACGGGAGCCGCTCGGCGTGGACGACGAGGCGCACTGCGCCCTCGGGCAGGGGCAGACGCGAGCCGACGCCCAAGTCTTCGTCTACGGCGACTTCGTCGTCGCTGGTGTCTTCTTGGACATCATCGTCACCGCTGTCGCGATGGACGGTCTTGGCTGATTTTCGACCCCGCCGGTTTTGGACCACCAGCTCGTCGTCCATGTCTGAATGCGGCCGTTTCTTCCCGCTTGAGACGAGGCGCAAACTGGCTGCTTTGCCGGACCTGCGAGTGCGCATCTGAGGCGGCGCATGGAAGGCCGCGACGTCCTCGTCCGACTCCCCTTCGCTTTCGTTTCGCAGCTCGCTCTTGGTCCTTGCCTTGATGTTGATAGAGGGTGGTAGTTGTGTGGCAGGGTTAGTCGAAGCGCCAGATTTTGGCGGAAGCTTTTTACGCCGAATAGTCATACCAGGGATATTCTCCTCCTTCGTGAACTCGCCTGGTACCCATGGTCGTTTCGCAGCATCTTGCAGCCACTTGTACCATGGAGTGCCCTTCCACTCCGTGCCTAGACGAGGAAGGAGCTCTTTCGCATAATATGACGTCACGTCTTTAGCCATGTTATATTGCCGGATTTTGCACTTGAAGTAAAGCATCGAGTGAACCGTGGATTGCGGCGTTTTCTTAATATCAGTTTCGTTGTGGATCTCCTGTAGTGCCCCCAACAGCCGGCCCACAGGTGAGTCGTCATCGGCGCCTGCCATGTGCGTCTCTGTTGACGTACTCCGTGAGGTCTCGACGGGCGCGGGGGATGGTTTTACACTTGTTGACTGGACATGTTGCCTGTACTTCTCTGGGAGTGATATGGGCGTTTCGCTGATTTTAGCCTTTCCATGAATGGATACTTTCGGTGGTGGACTGCGCGAGTCTCGCATCTCGACGCTCCTCTTGACCAAGCTGCTTCCCCGCTTGTGCAGGGACTCGCTTTCATCCGAGGTATGCGTCTCTGGAGGAGGCTGAGGAGGGACTATACCATTGGCTATGTCGGCGATTCTCTTCTCGATGTCCTGTCTAGCATTAGCCCCGCATATCATAGTATATCAAGGAGTCGTAGCCTACCGGGTGGGCATCACGCAGCCACTTGGCAAAGTAGGTGAGGTCCCAATTCAGCTCGGCCTCCTTAGGAAAATGGGCGATCAGGAACTCAGCCCATTTATGGCACAGAGGTTCGACTTCGTCCCGCAGGATGCCGTCACCGGCCCTGACAGCGTAGTTGAGGAAGATATCGTCCAGACTCTGCGGGCTTGACCACATCGTCTTCTTGCGCCTATACTTTTCTTTGTAGACCACGAAGGCTGAATAGTAGAGATTGATCGCTTCTTGAATCTGAAAGTACATGGGCTGGTATTTAAGCGACGGTCGGATCTCGAACCACCCGGAAGCTCCCCAAACCCAGAGACCGAGCGGGCCGTCTCCGATGGAGTAACCCTCTGAATGTGGGATCTCGATGTAACCAGTTTTCACACTCGATCGGACCACTTGACAGATGGTTAGTCAAACGGCGCTACCGGTAAGTAAAATAGTAGTTTGGCTCACGGTTGGGAAGATTTTCGCCGTGGACCTCTTCGAGAAAGCCGCGAACGACCACAGGCCCTTGGACGTTAACCAGAAGCGGGTTGGCCAGCGCCTTGCCATCCTTCCGATAAATTGTCGCGTCCGTGAGCACATAGCACGGCCACTCGTTATCTGGCCCTTGGCGTACCGCTTTCTTAAGTATAAACGACTCTTTTGAGTACCGAATGTGCGAATGGCCGGTTTCAACGGATGAAGCCGAGGACGCCCTGCGCCTTCGCGGACGGCCCGCCATCGTGGTTATTTTTTCTCGCCAGAAACGCGAGAGGACGGGAATCAGTGGTAAAATGGGCGGCGACGTCTGGACCGGGGCATTGTTTGCTGTGTAGTGGTCTAATCTGCGAGCAACCACAGTAATTCGACGTGAGTCGAACCTCAGAGTGTGGTTGTGTCGCCAATGCTGATTTGCAATCAGAGTTGTTTCGCACGAAAACGACAGATAGAGACCCAAAGGGAATGACAGCCAGAAACGGGCTGATACAACGGTCGGCGCCGGGTGGTTAAAGTAGCCGAGCTGTCTGGAGGAGCTTGAAACAATGCGCCAGCTCCTCACGCTGTCGCACGTCGAGCACATCCAGCCAGGCACGTCGCCAACGCGACGAACGAACGCGGGTCCGAGAAAGTGGGGTCGAGCTTAATTGTGCAGTGCGAACGGAGAAAAGTGGGACTCAGCCTTCAATTTCCAAAACTGGAGCATGACTCCACTTCTTCGGGGCCTCACAATCGGCTCGCTCGGCCCGAGTCAAATGCAATCGATAAGGATACCTCGCGTTAGCGCCGGAAACC